GTGAATATGCCACGGACTGCCAGAAGAGCAAACAAATCTGTCTTGGAAGAAGTGCAGCCAGAGCGCTCCTTAGGAGCAAGGATGGCGAGACTGTGTCTCACATACTTTGGACGTGTTATCAGGAGGGTCAGTCCCTGGAGAAGGACATCATGCTTGGTAAATTAGAGGGTCAGCAAAAAAGAGGAAGACCCTCAGAGAGATGGACTGACACAGTGGCTGCAACAACGGGCTCAAGCATAATGATGATTGTGAGGATGGCGCAGGACCGGGCGGTGTATCATTCTGTTGCACAAGGGGTCACTGTGAGTCAGAACCGACTCGAGGGCACTTGACAACAGCAACGACACAGGGTTTCCAAGGAGCGGCTGGTGGATTTGAACTGCGGACCTTTGGTTAGCAGCCGAGCTCTTAACCACTGTGCCACCGGGGCTACATTCCTCCCAGGTTTTATGTTTTATTTTTATTCTCTAAATAAGAGGCCAGAACGAGCCCTGTGGCAAGGAGGAGGGCCCCGACCCACCCTCCACTGTGGACTGCCCACCCTGCCTGCCCTTCCAGAAGCGGTTCTTGGGAATGGCTTATTGACAAGTAGTTTATTGACAAAAGGTATTCGGGGAGTGGGGTCAGTCCCCCCTTGGCTCTGGGGCCTCAAGGCTCCAAGTACTGCCCACGTGGTGCCCACAGACCAGGGGTTCAATTGGGATGCAGTGCCCGCCCTGCCCTGCTCCGCCCAGGGTCCCTGCTGCTCCCCCCCTTTGCAGGAATCTGGGGGTGCCCAGGCCCTGGGGCTGCCTTCCCTCTGGGGGTTCGATACTTGCTCTTCTGGCTGTAGAACAGGTTCTTCTGAAAAAGCCAGGGGAGGTTGCCCTGATACAGCAGGACAGCCAGGACCATCCCTGCGAGAGACAGGGTCGGTGAGCCGAGACCACGGCCCCCACCTAAGCTCTATTGCCATGCACGCGGCCCTCCCGGGTCAGTGGGGCAGCAGACCTGGGCATGGCCCACCTGGCCCTGTCTGGCTCTCCCAGCCACGCACCCCAGGATCTCCACTCAGTGCCAGGGGACTTGCCAGGAGGGGGCGTAGGGGGTGACATACCAGGGGGAGCCCTGCCTGCTCCTGACCTGCTCCCAGAGCTGGCGCGGACCTCTCCCAGGCCACCCCCAAAGGCTAAGGTGCCAGCCCAGGGTCAGGGGCAGTGTGTGGGGCAAGGGTGGGTGTGGAGCTGTGGGGGAGGAGGAGAGGGGTGGGTGGGGGCTGGGCTGGCCGTCTCCCTCAGGTGGTGCCCAGAACTGCAGGAGGTGAGACCCATAACCGCAGCCTGGCCCTGGGGGCAGGGGATGGACTTGCGGCTGGGAGAGCACCTGTCCTTCGGGTTTGGTGGGAACTTTGAGGACCGTTAACATGTGGGCCATCTCTCCCCGTCCACTCTGGTTCAGGAAGCACCAGGATGTGGCCATGTCGCCGTCATGGCAACAAGCTGGCTTGCTGGGGGGAGGCGGGGGCGCTGAGGCTGCGTGAGGTCTGCGTGGACCCGGGAGCTCTTGCTGGGGCCCACCCCGACCCCCCCAAGCCCCCAGGTGGGGACTGTCCAGCCGGGCTCTGTGGAGGAGCCTTGGGCCCTCACTGCCTTACCTGTCAGAGGGCCCAGCCAGTACACCTGGACATACTCCAGCAAGGTGTGCCCCGAGCAGCGGAAGGTGACGGCAGAGGCCAACGCAGGGTTAAAGAAGGCGGACGTAAAGGGCCCGGCTGCAGGGGGGAGGCAGGCCCCATGTAGCACCAGAAACCAGGAACCCGCCCCCGTGTGCTGCTCTGCCGGCCTGGGCATGGCTCTCGGCTCTCAGGGCCGGGTGTCCCGCCTCCACCCTTGCCTCACTGATGGAGACACGAGGCCAGAGCAGCCAAGGCCAAAAGTTGCCGGGTCAGGGAGCAGCAGGGACAGCGTCTCACCAGAGACTCCCGACCCCTGTCCTGATCTCACCCCAGGCTGGACTCATCCCCACTCAGTCCCTTCTTTTCTCCCAAGCCCCCCCAGGTGAGCCTAGGCAGCCTGGCCATGCCCCTGCAAGCTTCGCCCCACCCGTGCCTCAGTTTCCCCATCTGCACAGGGCTCCAGGGACACTCCTTGCAGCCTCTGTGGTCCAGCTGGTCACCACCCCAGGGGCTGTGGGGCTGGCTTTCTCTCCCTATTGGCCAACTCCCTGGCCCACCCCAGAATGGAAGCTTCTGGAAGGCTCAGTCTCCTCAGCTCCCTCCTTGCTGTACCCCAGCATCTGGCCAGGCCCACGTAAGCGCTGTACCCCAGGGCCCGGGCCTGCGTGACACTGCACCCCAGGGCCCGGGCACGCGTGAGCACTGTACCCCAGGGCCCGGGCACATGTGAGTGCTTGCTAATTAGTCCACAGCCTCCTGGGAGGTCTGTCCCTATGGCGCTGGCCAGTGAAGGCCCCGTGTCTCTCCCTCCACGGGGAGACCCTCCTGGAGGCCCTGTTCTCCCACTCAATCTGGGAGTGACATAAGACGGGGCTCCCAGACCCCGGAAGTCCCTGAAGAAGATGCCTGGCACCCACCTGCCCCCTCTGCCCAGGTGAGAGGTGTCCTCCAAAGGATGGGAGCAGCAGAGATATGAGGGCACAGCCAAGACGGATGGTCTGGGCAAGGGCCTCCCTCCATGCCGAGTCCTGCCTGCCAACCCATCAAACCCACCAGGGGTCCCAGCGGTGACCACGCCACCCTCTGGCCAGCAGCACCTTCCCTGGAAGTCCACAGGAGTGTGCAAGGGAGCCCTGGGGTTTGTCTGGAGGGGCCACTCACCTGTGTAGGCCAGAACAGTGACCAGCAGCGCCACAGCCGGCACCCTGAGGGCGGGAGGGCTGTGCTGTAACCGGAGCAGGGTCAGGTGGAAGAGGAAGGCGCAGGCACCCTCCACCAGGGTGCCGTGGGGCATGGACGTGTGAAGGGCCGAGCTGCATTCTGTGGCCAGAA